ACATTTCTGTAGGAGATTCTCATCAGCCTGGCAAAGGAAGGCAGCAGTGCATACTGCTTCCTGGTCTCCCTGGGGTGTCTGAAAGAGCTTGTCCTAGCTTTTGAAAGACTTGGTTTTGGCACTTTGCTATTGACTTCAGTAGGAGAACAGGGTTGTTAAACTCTTGGCATCGCTGGTATTACAGCAGTATTATGTGGCCAGAAGGAGCAAAGCCTTCAGTTCCCTGGGTAGTGAAAAAGCTGGGTGAACCTGCTTTTTGCCTCCTTGTTATCTGGCTCTCCTGCCTGAGGTCGGTGGATTGCCTTAGATTCTGTCCTTCAGAGGGTCAGGGACCTAATCAGGGCTGTGACACAGCTCACATGACTATCTAAAGGATATTTTAATTGATCTGACCTTGTATGGGAAATACCTTTGGCGCTCTAATGCGCTGCTCTCTGGGAGGCAGGCACAGTGCTCCAGGGCACAGGCAGTCGAAAAACAAGCAGACGTTTTAGAATTTGGCCTTTGACTGGAAAAACTGACTTTTAAATATTGGCTCACTGAGACCTTTCCCTGCATCTGTAAAAATGACCCTCCATTTGTTAGCACCTGGCACAGATACACTTACAAATACTGCTTGTTTTGAAGGGTGCCACTCATTTTGTTGTACATTACCATTTAAATGACTTACATTTGTACCTAAAGGCTTCAGTCTCATGGGGCTAAGTGCTGTACAAACACAGTTTTTTAGTCTAAACAGGGTATGAGGGGGAAGGACAGTGGTCTACTGTGTTTCCCTCCAAACTGAACATGTAACAGTTCTTAAAAATATGTCTCTCACAATGTTCTTTGTTGAGTATGGAGCAAAACCTTCAGCCATGGCAGCTGAAACACTGTAGGCAGGCTCGGATCGGATGAGATGCCGTTTTCAAACTGCTCAGTTTTCAAGGTGAAGACATGTTATTTGCTTGTGTGACAGGAAACGAGGGAAAGCAACGCTTTCCCTTCAGCTTTTGGGGAGAGAAACAGGAGGAAAGTATAATAGTGTATACAAATACACACATAATGGAAGAAAATACCAGTGCCCAGACTATGCATTTCTTTGCAAAAGCTGTGTGTTCTGAGGAGGAGCAAAGTGGTGAAGACTGAGGGCAGCCATGTGCTGTTTTGCTGTTTTCTCCTTCTCCCAGTGCTCAGTGTTCTGTAGGGCATCGTATATTCTTCTTGCTGTTGCCTCTTTGGATGCTTCACTTGATCTCTGATTTGCTCTTTGATATCTAAAGTATCTCCACCTTTTCTTCCAGCCCTTCTTTACTAATATTCCAGTCATAAATGCCGTTTGTCATTAGGTATTTTGCAATGGGAGCTGGCCTCTGTCAGGAGAGCATACAGCATAAGAAGAGAAGGGTTGGTAAAGGAAAGTTGCCTGGTATTAAAACTGGGAATAGAGTTTATGTCTAGGGCTCAAACACTCAGCTGTGTTCAGGCCACTGAATTTATGTTTAGAATTGGACCAGCAGTATCAATACGCTCATAAGAGACATTTATTAGTCATCTTCACATATACTAGATCAGATTTTCTTCTGCTTGAAGTTCACTGAGCTATGCCTGTATTTGAAATGCATTTAACTGGTCAGTTTTGTGTCAAACTTCCACTACGCTGTTGGGTGTTGACATTAAGCTATCATAATTACTAAATCCAAGTTCAAAAGTGGAACTTCAAACTGCTAGGATTTTTTAAGATTTTCTTTTTAGGCAACAACTGAAATGATGTATATGAGCCACATATCCACACTCCGAAGAGCTCCAGCAAGATAGCTACCATTTGAATGGGATTTCTTTATAAAATATCCAGAACACTGCTGTGAAAAGTACTGAATGTGTAAACCGTCTGTTTCTCTTGGTTTACATGTTCAGATGTTGTCTTATTAATCTACTGTTTATGTTGCCTTATTAACTTACTGTTTGGAAAAAAAACAAAGTGGATCAGCAAGCTGAATTCTGGGATATTCTTGGGGTACCTTAGAACTCCTTTCAGAAATCCAGTGACTTTGGAAAAGTTCTCCAGTCTGGAAGAGAACTTACTAGATGTGGTTGTCCCTGATAGACAGCTGACCCAACACAAATGAAGCTCTGAAATAGCATCAAAGCATTAAACTTCAACACATCTCACTTACTTTTTCTTTAAAATCAGAAACAAGGAAAACTATTCTGATTAACTCAGGAAGAATTTCTAGATGTATTGAAAACAAACTGACTGGTTTGTCATAGGAACTAAATACCTCTTTTCAGGTATGTAAATCCTAAGTGCAGGTTTGAAAGCTTCATAAAATTTACCTCTCTGTGGTGCTCATAGTATAGATGCAATATTTGAGTCATTGATGCTAGAAGATCAGTTAATATAATACATAGGTCTGTACACGTTGGGAGTACATCCAGGAATTGCAGCTCTGTATGCATCAGGCATGCAGCTGTGCAGTCCTTGCTCTCCAAGGCCTTTCCCCATTAGTAGTGTTAATAATCAGGTTGGAAACGAGCACAGCAGTCTGACAGCACCAGATGCAAACTAACTGGGAATCTTTGAAAATGCTAGTGCCCTCCCTTCCCTTCTCTGCCACGTGCATGTACACAGCTAGTTAATAATCTTTCAGCTCATGGTAAGTGGGAAGATGTAGGGCTGCTTCCTGCACCTTAGGACCCATGTGAGTTGTTGCATGCATTTCAAGTGGCTTCCACTGTGCTGCTATTTACACAGAGCTCCAGATACTTTGCAAGGGGTGATTTAACTGTAATCTCCCACAGCAAGAAACTGCACAGGCAGTAGTTCTGCTATTTGTATATAAGTTTAAAATGTGGCAGTACTTCAACAAAGCCAGCTTGGCTTTGTGTTTACGAATGTGTTGCATCAGCCTTGCCTTTGTTGTGCTATCATCTTATCAGAGTGAATGACTGATGTGTTTTGCCAGCCTGCAGTGCATTGGCACATACTCTTCTAGGGGACCTGTTGCTGCTTTTCATTTCTGGAGTGCCCATGTGTAGGCTGGGGAGAGAGTCAGTGCATGACTGAGCAGCTCCACTGGTTGAGGGAAGTATGTGGGGCAACCAGACTATAATTCAAGTTCTCTTGCTAGTTCCCAGTCTTTGAAAAGTCCCAGGTCTAGTTTTAGCAATGTCATAGATGTCAGTGCCAGTGGGGCAGGGCCTTGTGGACTACCAGGAAATTTTAGTCCTTATTGCACCTACATAATATCAAGGTGGGAGTTTGTTAGCATTTGCATGCATCAGATGATTATCACTCCCATTGCCCAGAGGGATGTGAGAATGATGAAGAGATAACAAATTTCACTGTGTGTTTGGAACAAGGAGTGGAAAAGCTGCAGTCTTTTTTTTTCAGCTCTTCTGCATATAGATAAAGGAGCAGTAACCATGTGGAAGTACTCAGCTTTGTACTGTAGCCAGCTTCAGTGACGATTTGACAGTCCTGGCAGCATGATGGTGACTCACCACACCTAATAATCCACAAGAGCTGGAGACTTGCTCTGTGTAAAGTTGAATTGCTCTTTTAATTTGCTTTATGTTGACTTTTGTCTTTTCTAAGATGCGTGATGAACCAAGGACAATGGTAAGATGTTTTGTACCTTAGCAAACTTTTTTTTTCTCCTGATTTTGTCCAAACTTGAACTTGTCCAGAGGCCTTTGAAGACAAACACAGTGTGCTTTTTATATTGGGCGTTTCAGACATGTTCTGACTGCATCATAAAATGGCAATAGGAAAACTGCAGAACAACTACAGTGGAAGATAAGCTGTGGCTATTAGTAACTATCTCTGAGTTTATTGCTCTCCCTTAGACTGGTACCATTGCCCCCCCCCCCATACTAGACTATATTAATGTAAGAGAGCTTTGCCCCATGGCTTGCATTTCAGGCTGTGCATGATATCTGACAGGAGAGGCAGAGAAGTGCAGTTTCTTACAGACCTTTGAACGCTTCCTCTCCATCCCCTCCCGCTGAAGTTGAACTCCTGACACGTTCCCAGTGACGATTACTGCAGACAAAAGGCAGCATATGATGCAGCTTGTGCAGATCAATTTGCATGCCGGCTGTCTGGCCAGTTGCTGCCTGACTTTGTGTCCACTCTTCCCTCAGTGGAGGAGTTAATTTCCTCCTCTATCTCACTGCCAGTTTTCATGAAACCCTGTGGGAATGTGATTATCACTGAGATTTCCTCCCTTGGTCAGATTTGTTTGATGTTGGCTAATCCTTCTCCCAGTTACTGGGGAAAAGGGGTAGAGTGGTAAGATGTACAGTGCTATTGAGTAAAAATGGCTCAGCATAGATAGAGTCCCTATCTACAGTATGAATCGAAATAACTTGCTTTCAAAGCTGGGCGTGGTATTAAACCAAAAAAATACACACTCCTGAATGATTCAGTGACTTCCAGTTCTAAACCTGAGGTCATCTCCTGTAATGAGATACATCTGAAATAAGGTTTTGCTTCTCTCAGTAAATAACTTCCCCTGCTTCCAGGAATAAGTAGTTGAGAAGGGAGGATTTAGGTTCAGCTGGTCGATCTGTGAAGCTGAAAATAACTCTATCCTGGAATTTGCTTACAAGGATTTCTTACAGCTCCAGGTTCTCCTTGCATATTACATCACTGCAGCTTTACCTGGGAGTACGCTCAGGTGAATTTAGTTTGTTTGAACTTACATCAGTATTGATGAAAAGAGGATTTAGTCCTTAGGCCTTCATTCAGGAAAGCACCTGCGTTTACAGAGGATGCTTGCACACTGGCTTAGCTCACTGCCAGGCTTCAGAAAGCACTTTTCTAATTTACAGGCTTCATGTGTATTATTGAATGGTAGCGAATTAACTGGAGGTGAAAACAATTCTAGTACATTTCTTCAGCTGCTGGCAATACATGTAACTCCATTGTCTTTAATAATGAGTGCTAATTTTATACCTGTTAAGGACTTGATAAAGAGCAGTGCTGGCAGAGCTGTGCCTTCTGGGGTAGATAATGAGCCATTTTGTATCTCTGAGTCTTGGCTTTCTCACTTGCTTGTGCTGGCTGGAGTATTATAAGGGCAAGATGTTGATTTTATTTGCTGCTGAGCCTTCTATATTACTACTCTGCCTCTCCAATGCTTCTAATAGCCATGCGAGTGACTCTTTTTAGAACATGCAAGCACTGAATTTTGACTTGCACCCCTGTGTAAATAGTTTGAATGACTTTCTTGGCCAGTGTTATTAAACCTAATATGAAGAGAACATTTGAAATAGTCTTGGCTTCTGCATACATTTATCTCTAGAAGTAAGGGCAGTCATGCCGTAGCTTTTGAGTTCTACAGAGAACTGAAATCACTAATGGTATGGGCCATCTGCTGTGGGGGGTAGGACTAAAAAATGGCAGGTATTGTCTTAAGTGTGTGTAATCTAATTTTTTTTTTGTGAATACAGCCTTTACTCACCAGTCTTGCAAAGTGAGGCATCTGTTTCTGAATTTAAGAAGCTGAGACTAATCAGACTAATTCAAGTCTTTCTGCAATGTGCCTAATTGATCAACCTAATATCTTTGCAAAAAAAAAATGTTCATGTTACTCTTTATACTCTTTACATTAAGGAAGAGGATGAGTCTTCTAATCATTTTACATGGTAACCTTGCAAGTTGATGTAGAAATTTGTTTACAAAACACACCTGTTCTCATTTGTTGTGACTTCAAAGACTGTGCTGTGCTTAAAGGGAGAAGAAAGTGCTGATGTGTGTCTTGCCTAACAGAGTTCTCTTTACTGTAATAGTAGTGCAAAAAGTTGTTAACTTTGATATACAACTTAGCCTGAAGCCTGAAATACAACATAGCCTAAAGCCAAAGTAAATTGTCAGTCTGAAATGAAGCATTTCATCTGAGAAGAGGTTTTCAGTTAAGCCTTTTCTCATGTCCTTACGGCATGCCAAAATACTTTTGTGTTCAGTGCTGAGCACCCTGCCGTGAACAGAAATCATTAGTACTCAGTATATTTTGCAAATATTAAAGCAAGCTATTAATAGAAGAGTGATATTGAGGGTAAACTGGGGAAGAGCAAAGGCTCAATGAGGCTAGTAGGTAGTAGACCTGCTCCTTTTTCATCACTCTGGCTGTTGGAAAACATCCTTGACCTACTGGTGTAATACTGCTTGGACCTGCCCAAACACCTTAAAATGTTATTTGCAGGACAATAATGTGCTTCTGAGAAAAGGATACTCATCAATGTAAAACTAGCAAATCTGAATTCTGCTAAACTTGCCTCAGGTCGGAATTCACTGATATTTTAACAATTGGATATAGTCACATTCCTGGGGAAAGCTGATATGGACTAAATGATCATTTCATTATGCACACAGGCACACATTCAGGCAGAAGACTGTAGCAGCAACAAAATTGCATTGCTTTGCTTTGCAGACTTGTTAAAATAAGGTGTTTTATTTGCTGGTGTTGAGTTAGAACAAGCCTTCCTCATGGCTTTAGATAAACCCTGACATTTCACATAGGCTTCAAATCTGGGCAGATAATTAACCTTTGCGTGAAGTTACCCTTGACTTCAGTCTAGCATGTAGCAAAAGTTATTTGTATACCTAGGTCTTTATCTTAATTATCTTTTGCCTCCTACATTTGGGAACAGTATAATGTGCCAAGGGCAAAACCCCCTCTGTATTTCTATTCAGCAAGTGCCTATGGGGCCAAACCTTTTTCTTAAAAGGTATAGAGAATAGCCCTCCTTCTACTGTTCCTGTGGTGATAACCTAAGAAGAGAGGAAACTATAGCACTGAATGTAGTAATGGAATAATGCCTATTGGATATTTTCCACTACAGTTGTATGAAACAAGGGAATTGGCAAGAGTAAGCCAGTGAGAGTTAACTTAGAAGAATCTGGTATTACACAAAGCCAAGAACACATGGCAACTTCCAACTCACTTTATTTCAGTTAGTTAATAGTTTGCAGAGTGTTTGTGTGTGTAGTGCTGATCAGTACTTAGATGTCATTTTCCTAAACCTTTTACCATGTCAATAAACCAACATCCACCAAATAACATTTAAGCACAAATAATCATTGTGACTTAATCTGTCACAAACATTTGTTACAAATGTCCTCATCTTTTTCCCTCTTATCTTCTACAAAGACAGTGCTGTAAGGATTGTAGGGCATTTCTGGGACATTTCTCAACTCCCAGAAGACATTGTACCATAAATAATTTTGCTAAATGGTGTTACCTGGATGCTTCTTTTGTACATTTTTTCCTCCGTTTTATGTAACCGGGATAGCACTTTGTTATCATCACTGTAGTGGGTGGAATGAGATATTTTGGTACTGCAGATGTTGCCACAGTGTGACATTAATTTAATCACTTAAAAAGATTTAATACTGGGACAGTCTGGGACACAGCCATGGTGTTTTCATATGGTTTGCTGCTGTTCTGCTATTGATGATGTTGCAAGTGTGTTGTAATGTAATCATGGGGGAAATCGTTACTGTCATATATCTGCTCTATCAGCAAGTAGTGATCCAGTTCAGTTTAATATCTGTATTGATGATCTGGATGATGGAATCAAGTGCACCCTCAGAAAGTTTGCAGATGACACCAATTTGGGTGGAAGTGTTGATGTGCTGTTGGAAGGCTCTACAGAGAGAACTGGACGGGCTGCATAGATGGGCTGTGGCCAGTTGTATGTGGCTCAACAAGGCAAAGTGCCGGGTCCTGCGTATAGGTCTCAACAAGCCCGTGCAACACTACTGGTTCGGGGATGAGTGGCTGGAAAACTGATTGGTGGAAGAGGACCTGACTTATATAAGAAATAATGTGGACAGCAAGAACAGGGCAGTGACTGTTCTGCTGTACTTGGCACTTGTGAGGCTGCATCTCAAATCCTGTGTAAAGTTCCTGGCCCCTCACTACAAGAGAGACATTGATGTGTGAGAGTGAGTCCAGAAAAGGGCAATGAAGCTGGTGAAGGGTCTGGAGAATAAGTCTTATAAGAAATGGCTAAGGAAACTGAAGTTGTTTAGCCTGGAGAAAAGGAGGCTCAGGGGATGCTTATTACTCTCTACACTTACCTGAAAGAGGGGTGTTGTGGGGTGGATGTCGGTCTCTTTTCCCAAGTAACAAGCAATAGAACAAGACAAAATGGCCTCAAGTTTTGCCAGGAAAGGTTTAGGTTGGATTTTCGGAAAAATTTCTTTACCAAAATGGCTGTCAAGCATTGGAACAGGCTGCCCAGGGAAGTGGTAGAGTCACCATCCCTGGAGATATTTAAAGGACATGTAGATGTGGTACTTAGGGACATGGTTTAGTGGTAGACCTGACAGTATTAGGTTAATGGTTGGACTTGATGATCTTAAAGGTCCTTTGTAACCTACAGTATTTTATGATCTACTGGAATTTGTTAAATGTTTGTAGTTTTCTGTTATCAGAGCTAAAACAGTAGAAAGATGCTTGGGCTATATGTGTGGGGCTATTTGGTGAATTTAAGCAGGGGGCTAATTATGCGCTGAGAGGCTCAGAAGGGCTTTTATGAAAAACACAGGGCCTCGCACCTGGTTACTTGTTGGCTTTCTTTTGCATATGCAGTCGCAGAAAGGTAAGTAAGCTATTGTTAAGATGAAGGAAAGAGAAGGAGCATTTGGGGGGACAAAATGAGAAAGACAGACTTGTATTTTGTAGTAAAGTAATTGCTACTGTTTATTCCTCTGGTGCTTGGTGGCAGAACTTGGTGTATGCCTTCTGTAACTGGGCAGGACTGTACCAGAGATACTCCTGACAAGTAGTGGGCTTGCACTGATAGCAACTAATGAGAGCACTATCTGTCTTGTTATTGGTTGCAGCCTCTACCATGATCAATTTTTTACTGGAGTGTGGGTTTGAACAGGAATTTTAAATATGTAGGAAGACCCTTTTCACCCTCGAGCAGTCTGATACTGCTATCCTTCCTGCGGAGGCAAAATCATTGTATCCTCATCAGCTCCACAGTCTGCAAGAGGTAAGAAGCTTTTTTCACTCGGTATAAACTGATGTGTGTTTTCAAAGTCATCTCTAACTAAATTTGCCATTTCCTATATCTGTCTTCTGGTGTGCAGCCACTTGCTGCAAAGTAACAGATTTTGTGACACGGGGAGTATGAGACATGTCTAGTAACAGCGTGGTATATAGTCCTTATCCTACTTGAATACTTGTTTAATAACCTCTCAAGGTCCAGATGTGATCTCTGACCCAGAGCTGCCAAGGCTGGAATAATCTTGGTGTTTGAAAATAGAAGCAGCTTCATACTTTCTTGCCCTGTTGGAATTTTTGCAGTCTCCCTTAAAGTGATTTAAGGTTGCTACATGTGTCTAGAAGAGGTGAGCTTAAAATTTAAAGTAAAACTAAGCTTTTATTTTGGTAAAACATAAAGCCTTTAGTAAAAACCTGGGCTTGCATGGTTGATTCAGCCTTTTTCATCTGCAAACACCTGAAACAATCTAAGTTAACAAAGATACTGTGTTTACTCTGTATCCTCTATTGTGGGGGGATGTGATCTATTTAAGGGTTTTTCTTTCTCTGCTCCATACTCTAAGTTCAGGTCTTCTAACCAAATCAGGCATAGCATATTTGAAAGTAGCATTTCAAACCCTGATCTACTAAATTCCTTTTTGAGGAAGCCCTAATCTGGGTATTGCTTCTAAATCTAGTACTCTCTGTAAGACCTAAGGTTCATGAGGTTTTTCTTGTATATACTTTTGCTCACATGTTATAAATTTAAATCCTGGCATTTAGTTAGGGTGCTGCAAAACCTGAATAATTGTTTAAAACACACTGTGTAACGCATGCATTTTTGCCCGCTCATAACTATTTCTCTTTCTGGTTAAAGCTGTCCTCTGTGCTACAAGTTCAAGTCTATGAACGTTAGAGTAGTGCATGTGTGCTTAAAGCCAAGATTCTTCCTTTCCTTTCTATCCAGATTAATCCATTTCAGCCAAGTTTGTTTGCCCAGGCACTTGGGATCTTTCCCATATACAGCCTCACTTGATCCTGCAAATATCTTTTTGTAGGGATACTGACAGATGAGTGTATGGTTAAGGGCTAAATAGAAATGAAGATGTCCTTAAGACAGTTTCAGGCACTCCTTATGTTGGAATAGTTCTGGTGCTGAAAAGGTTTGAGAGCAGTTAGACCAACTGGGGAAGAACTGCAATTTGGGGACACTCAATTATGTCTCTTTTTTTTGAACACAGACACTTCTTCAGACTTCCCTTTAAGGGAAAATGTAGATTCTTAAGCTGTATCCTTAGTGGAAGTAAAGGAGCATGACTTTACTGAAGTCAGACTGACACTGTCTCTACAGGAGATCTGTCTTTAAGCTTTAAGTCTTTTCATTACTTTACAGAGCAAAACAGGTGTGCTTTCCTGTAAAAGACATTGTGCTCTCTGTGGAGCTTCACTGATGAGCAAAGAAAAATCCTTCCATTTAAATAACTATAATTTATATTGATGATAATATGCTGAATTCTATAACCACTTCCATCTCACAGAAGGATCTTAATACATCCTGGAGTTTTGGGACACTGTTTCATCTGGAGGTAGTAGATGGATGTAGATGTCATGGGGTCTTTAATTTTCACTCCCTAGATTCATTCCCCTTCTTTCTGATTAATTTCTCTATGGGGTGTCTGCCTTTTACATCATGGCAAATGGAGTGCTGGGGGGAGGGAGATGTAATGTTTTATTAGCAGCCTCTGTTTAATGTAACTGTGCTAGTCCTGTGAACTAAATATGCTATCAAATGTAATTCCCCTGAGATCAATGTACTTACTGATACTGGGTAAACTGCAGAAGAAAATATGCAGGCTATAGAGGAAAGCTTGAAAAGCCAGATCTTTTCTGCACTTTTTTAAAGCCTGACCCAGGGGTCTTTTCTGTTAATCTTAATTTTTTTTTTTTCTTTTTGTAGAGAAGGAAAGCTATTTCAATGTATAGCATGTATCTGACAGATGACTGAATGAAAAGGTTGAAGGTAAAGTGTGATATGAATTGTACTGCAGTGGCCCTGAGAACATACCAAAGAAAGGCTGAAACCAACATAGTATATTAGGAGCCTGCGCAAGGTGTTTTCTCTTCTTAATCAGGCTTTTTAATAAGTCTATTGAAGCAGAGAACTGAAGGAATTATGAAGTCAAAGCCAGCATCACTCCACTATGTGTCTGCTTTCACAACTTCAATTCCACAGTACTGAGATTTGTATTGCTGCTTCTGTAAATTGCAGGTCATCCCTCTAGCTAGTGTGAGATGGGGTGGTGGTGCTGGTGTTGAAGCACACAGGAATGAATACAGAATGCCATAGACTATGGAAGGGATTGGAGGGCATGTCAGCATCTCAGCCTGTGTTTACTTCTGCAATGTACGGTACACTAAATGCATTTAACTGGAATATTATGAAGCTTATGGTGATTAGTAAGCCTCCTTGAGAAACCTGGATGCAATACATCATAGAATGATGTAACAATGACATCTTTACTGATTAAAAAATGATTACTTTTACAGGAGTTTAATTGTACATGAAAATCTTATAGCCAGTGCCAGCAGAGTTCATTGCCCAGAGATCTTGCTGCTTTATAAACCAACAATTCAAATGCTTTTTTGAGAAGTCAAATTTATAGTAATCAGATGTGTAGTCAAGGACTTAGAATATCCTTAGTCATGTGTAAATGAGTGCTTTTAAAAGAAAGGTCATGTTCTAAGAACTATTGATCTTTTTAGTATCTTTTTTTCTAGTTGGAAAGGGAAAGGTAATGCATACAACTGCAACTTCCAACTGAAATTTGGAAATTGAGGTTCTGCATGTGATATTGGACCCGAACCAGTCATCTCTCCATGCACACCTACGAGACATGTCAAAAAACCCACAACAAAAAAACAACAACAACAAAAAAATCCACCCTCCCAAAACATCTCAAACCAACCAACCAAAAAACCAAACACAACCAAAAAATAACCCAGACTGCTTTGCCCGTCAATTTTCTTAACACCATGGCTTCCACTGGACTGTCTGCTGTGATGGGATTGTGGCCTTTTGGGGAGCATATCACTGATTGGTACAATTTTATTACAAATACACATGCTTCTTGAATGGCATTTGTTGCAAGTGTTCCGGGCACTTTATAGAACTACAGCCATGCAGAAGTAGACACTTCTGTCGCCCCTGACACTTTCATTACTTGCTTTTTGCCATGTATCTGGTTTTCATCCTTGCAATTTTTGTCAGCATTCAGGGTGTCATCCTTAAAGCAAAAAGCCTGGAAAAACTTATCAGGAAGAGCTGTTCTTGCTCCTCACGTGTTGAGATTTTTTTTTTCAATGGATACTAGTGCTTCTTAGCCCCTTGTATATTTATCCAAGTCTTCACAGAACTCACTTCTGATTTATTGCTCTTCCTGGAAAGACAGAGGGATTTTCTTTTCTCTTGATGCTTGACTTCTAGTACCTTTAGAGTTGAGGTTAAGGAAAAAGTGTACCTTCTCCTGCAGTCAAAATGCTATACCGTTGCCTTGGGGGAATAATTAGTTGATATTCTTCAATATCTTTGCCTGCAACGATGTATGTGGAGGGAATACATGTGTCTGATGATCTGGTTGTTGAGGTTGAGGTACAGCCACTCCTGCAGCACGTTTGGGAGTGATACAGAGGTCTCCCCTCCAGCCAACCCGGAATCATAGTCCAAGTGACTGGATCCTGTTTACAGTGCCATGGACTGGGACAACCTTTGGCACAAGTTTGGACAGAATTCTGGAGTCATGCTTTTTAACTATGTGTTTTGCAATCCCACCACCCGACATCCTGGTCCTGGAGTGCTCGTGGCTTGTTGTCTATGCAGTTTGGGGTAATTTGACTCATATTTCTTCCACAGCAATTCTCGAAGCCACAAGTTTGTGGACTACTTTATTTACCTGTTGTGACAGTGTTAGGCACACAGGTTTAAGTAGTGGGGGCTTCCAGTGGTGACCTGTTTGAGTAAGCCTTGAACTGCTCCATGCTGGTCACCACTGCTGCCAGCCAGCTCTGAGGCAGCTGGAATGAACAGTGGCAACCCATCATGGATCACAACCTCAGCCGGCTAGAGTGCATGGTATCCCTGCTTAAATATAGAATCATAGAATCGTTAGGGTTGGAAAGGATCTCAAGATCATCTAGTTCCAACCCCCCTGCCGTGGGCAGGGACACCTTATGCTAAATAATATCACCCAAGGCCTCATCCAACCTGGCCTTGAACACTGCCAGGGATGGAGCATTCACAACCTCCCTGGGCAACCCATTCCAGTGCCTCACCACCCTAACAGGAAAGAATTCCCTTCTTATATCCAACCTAAACTTCCCCTGTTTAAGTTTTAACCCGTTACCCCTTGTCCTGTCACTACAGTCCCTAAAGAAGAGTCCCTCTCCAGCATCCCTATAGGCCCCCTTCAGATACTGGAAGGCTGCTATGAGGTCTCCACGCAGCCTTCTCTTCTCCAGACTGAACAGCTCCAACTTTCTCAGCCTGTCTTCATACAGGAAGTGCTCAAGTCCCTGATCATCCACATGGCCCTCCTCTGGACTTGTTCCAACAGTTCCATGTCCTTTTTATGTTGAGGACACCAGAACTGCACACAATACTCCAGGTGTGGTCTCACAAGGGCAGAGTTGAGGGGCAGGATCACCTCCTTTGACCTGCTGGTCACTTTCCTTTTGATGCAACCCAGGATACAGTTGGCTTTCTGGGCTGCAAGCACACGCTGCTGGCTCATGTTCCTTTTCTCATCGACCAACACCCCCAAGTCCTTCTCTGCAGGGCTGCTCTGAATCTCTTCTCTGCCCAACCTGTAGCTGTGCCTGGGATTGCTCTGACCCAGGTGTAGGACCTTGCACTTGGCATGGTTAAACTTCATGAGGTTGGCATCAACTCACCTCACAAGCATGTTGAGGTCCCTCTGGATGGCATTCCTTCCCTCCAGCGTATCAACCGAGCCACACAGCTTGGTGTCATCAGCAAACTTGCTGAGGTCGCACTCAATCCCACTGTCCATGTCAGTGACAAAGATGTTGAACAAGACCGGTCCCAACACCGATTCCTGAGGGACACCACTCGTTACTGGTCTCCAGCCGGACACTGAGCCATTGACCACAACTCTTTGTGTGCAGCCATCCAGCCAGTTCTTTATCCACCGAGAGGTCCATCCATCAAATTGATGTCTCTCCAATTTAGAGACAAGGATTTCATGTGGGACAGTGTCAAATGCTTTGCACAAGTCCAGGT